ATATCACTGGTGGCTACATCTGACACCACTCTACACAGATCCCCAAGGAGTTATGACAGCATAGTCCTCATTGGCTGTTATCAGCCTTCTCTCCAGATTTATCTACACTCCACTCATACTTATCTAAAAAGCTATTGTTCCCTTCCCCTCATCTGCCTCACATCCCTTCTGCTCCTTCATGGTTCAACCTCTTTTCCTCAGTAATCTCCAGCATTATCCTCATACTCTATCTGTATTCCTTCTTGCCACACCTACAAAGCTCTTATTTTGCTCAATCCCTGGCACTCTTATTCCAACTGGGTTTTTTTTGCCTTCACAAGACAGGCAGAAAAATGAAACAGCATGCATACCTACATAGGATGGAGGGACCTACCATGGTTTTGGGACACCTTTGTGCTTTCCTCATTCTGCATTGCCTCAGATGTTGGCAAGATACACTGATATACTAAATCCATCCCCAAGTGACTACAGGCAAAGCTCTCTGTCCAAAAGTCCTTCTGTGCCAGGTATTCTTTGTGTGCATTCAAATGGCAGATGCATATACACCAGCAAATACAAGTTCCAGGCATATTACTAAGCTTTGACCAATACCACCCAGTTGTATTGTTCTGCTTCACTGTGGTACAAGCCAGACAGCACTACCCATAAACCCTACCAGCTGTGAAGGAAAAAAAAAAAAGGATATCAATACTGTTCAACTCTCATAACTAAGAGGTTAGTTAATTCATGGAGATACATTTTGATGAATGCCATGGGACAAACTTTCATCATAAATAAAAAGAAAATACATCCTAGGTAAAACACAGCTGTTGATATGTATCAGCTCTGGAAATTAAGAAAAACTGAGGATAAAACCCCATTATTTTCAGTTATGATTTTACCTGCACAGAATGTGTACCTTCCTGTAATCCTGTAATTTTATTTCTGATGCATATAATGCCTTTACTGGGGTGGATTCCCAGAGCTTCCTTGAGTGGTAAGTAAGTTTATTTCTTTCATAAACAGAGGAGACAAACATGGGGTTCAGAGAGGGATCTGTCTTGTCCAACATTATATAGAAATGTTGCGGCACAGATTATCTAGAGCCCAAGTATCATACTTGTGTTTCTGATAAAAAATCAACCTGTTCAGTATTGCTTTTAGATTATGAACATTTTTCAATGTAGAGAAGAGCAAACTATATTTTTCCTTTGTGTATATTCCCCAGTTCTTTTTCTGTAACATTGCTACTGTTATCTCAAAACTATCACATTTGAAAAAAAAAGGAAACAATGGGATTGAAAAAAATGTGTTTTACATATATAATCGTGATTTCCTGATCTCTTACCCAAAAATTTATATCATATATAATAGAGATATGATTAAAAACCTTCCTTTGTTTCTTCCTCCCTTCTTTCCCTCTCCCTTCCACAATACAGAAAGTACTAGTACCTGTGAATATTTTAATATAGGCAGATATGTGACTAGTACATTCATGAATTCAGGTCAATGTCCTCTAGCTTCAACTGCATTATTTGCAGACCTTTCACAGTTAATTGCTCATTTTTTGCAATAGCTGGTATTTCCTCTCCAGGGTCACAAAAGTGCCTGCTTTTGAATCTGCCATTTCCTCATTGTGAAGACCACCAAAAAAAAAAAAAATGCAGAGGGGTCAGTAACTTTCTGATTAAATGATTCATAGAAATAAAACTGAAAGGCAGAACTAAAATCCAAATCTGGAAACTGCGTTTCAGTATTAAAATGCACTTACTTTGCCAGGAAGGGAATCCTTCTCAGCAAAGCCTTTTGAAAAACTGCCCAGCATTTCCTTTTTATTTTGTCAACATTTAGTTACAGTACAAAATTGACTTAACTATATAATGAGAAAAGCAGTTATTTCAAGTAATAACTGAGGATAAAATGCATGTTAACATTAATTTTACCTATTATTACTTTGTAAACGTAAGGTTATTTATCCTTTGAGAAAAGATATTTCAGAACCAAGCTAAGGTAACAACATGCATTAAATAAACAAATCAAATCAAACTCTAATTGGACTTGGAGCTTCAAACCAGAAAATATCAAAGTTAAGCTAAATAAATGAAACATAAAAAATAAATCTCATTTACAGAGTAATATTTTGTCAGATTGTCTGTGGAGTCATACATTCAAAAAAAATTTAGCATGCAGATGAGAAGTAAGGAGGAGGGAAGCAAACAGATGAACTGTAGTGGGAAAGCAATCCTAAATTAATTCAGGATGTGTTCTGCCTAACACTGATGAAGATCTAAATGAGAGCTCTTTAAATTGTACGTGCAGAACCAAGTCCTGGTGTGATTCACATTCTAACTTCAGATCTCATACGCCCCGCTGAAATATATAAAGCTTGCTTAGGATATCAAAGAAAGCTCAATTTGGTTCCCTGGCTTTTTTTGAAATTTTGGTCGGTGTGCCAGAGTTAGGCAGCAATGCTCTGTAAAGTCTAACATTAAACAGGCAGACTCCCTTGTTCGTCCTTCCTTCAGTGCCTGAAAAATAAACCACAATGCAACAATGGGATAAAAATACCAACTATGGAACTGACAGCCAAGAAAATACAAGAAAAGACGATTCGCTGTTGTCTGCTTAGTTTTCATAAAAGTATTACAGAATGGTTTGGGTTGGAAGGGACCTTTGAAGATCATCTAGTTCCAACATGAACATTGGTTCATGTTGGAATCAGTTCAATGAACTGATTGCACTGTTTTCTGGTCTGCTGTATTAATAACAAATATTATACTCTGCAGCGTTACAAAATAAACCTCCCTTTCTATTTCCATAACATCAGTAGAAGCTAAACTCTTCTGATATCTTGATGGGTATCTCTGGAAGAACGTGTTGAAGATAGGAGCTCCTATTTACTTCAGGGGCTTTGAAAGGAGTATGCTTTGTCACTTCAAGAACTGGGCCACTCATGACCAAAACTTCATGCACTAATTATCAGTGCAAAGCGGCTTCAGTGGCTCTCAGAAGTGTATACAAAATTAAACACTGCAAGATGAAGCTCTGGTCCGAGCTACTGCTTCTCTGGGAAGAGGGAGGAAAAAATCGACAGAGAAGGGTGATACAGGCAGGGAAGAGTCTACAGAACTGGACTCCGATGGCTGTCCCTGGGACAGGTGGTGTGCAGCCTCCTATCCTATCCTATCCTATCCTATCCTATCCTATCCTATCCTATCCTATCCTATCCTATCCTATCCTATCCTATCCTATCCTATCTTATCCTATCCTATCCTATCCTATCCTATCCCGTCATGGTAGTACCTGCTACCCCACACAGCTAGACTGTTTTCTTGTGACAGCAGCCTTATCAAGTCCAGCCTTCCCAGGTCCTAGAATAAGCAAAATTTGAAGCAGAATACTGCTGTTTTGGCAGTCAGAGAAGTCTGCAGCCTTAGGATCCATTGCTGTTCTCTAAGACAAAACAAGCCTGACCTCACCCATTTAACCAAATCAATCACTTGGTGAAGTACATGTGGCTTATTTTAAACATAAAGCCTGAGAAACAGGCTGTTTGGTCAGTTGTGAAAGCCAACAAACACAGAGCTCGGTGATTTTTGCAAAGGGAGGGTTGTTTGTAGAAGGAAACCTATTGCTGGACGTGCTCTGTGGCCAGGACCAAAGATGCCTTGCAGACAGGAGGTTGGTGTGCTTTCCTGGTTAGCCTCATAGGGTGAGCAACACATAAAGCTCTTAGTGATTTACATTTGCACTGGAAAGCAACTAGAAGGCAAGGTAGTGTATAATGCGTTCCAGCGTGACAAGTTCAGCCTCCCTCGCAAAGCTGTATAAATTGCATTTCTGTACACAATCTATTTTGGTGATATTGGCATGAGGATTTACTTTGCTTACGTGTTTACTAGAAGTTCAGTCCTGCATAGGGAGCTGCAGGCAGTATTAGTATGTAGAGTATCTCTTTGCATGTGACGAGAAGGAAAATTGCACAATGATTCTGTTCCACATCCTCTGCTACATTTTGCAGATTTTGGACGGTTTTGAGTCACTGTAGATAAGCAGATGAGTTGTGGAAGGTGCCAAATTTCACAGTAATCTTTGTCCTAGGTGCTGATTGCTGCAACATGGTCAAATATTTTTGCTGACCAGAGCAGTATCAATTCTTGCACAATAGCTGCTGCTGTGTACAGTAATGGAGAAAGATAATAATTTGCTAACTATGTCGCACTTCCTGCTTGAAAATGTCCCACTGGACTCACTTATGCAGGTTACTTTTTTTTTTTCTATTTTTTACAGTTCCACTTATCACTGCTGTAAAGCTACTTTAAGACAAAAGCGGTGTAAATGGAGGGTCAGATGGCCTCTCGGTTTGAACATTACGTCCTCTTCTCAGTAAGATTGGCAATGGGCCCTATGCCCATCCCCACCCAGAGTTCCAGAGGCAAAGAGACAACACTAAAATGCATCTTTGCTACCTTTCACAAACCTATTTTTCATTTATAATTCAGCAAAACTATAATTTACCATGAGCTGCATATGCAGCCAGTACTTCTCAGTTTTTTGTTGAGCCTGTACCAGCAAGGACCCCGTGGGAAATAAAATAAATGGGCTGCGCCGTTCGGTGTGGCCCGTCGTGTCCCCGAGCTGGGTGTCCATCTCGCAGCAGCAGCACGGCTGGAGAGGGCAGGGCTTTTCTGTCCACCCCGCTGAACTCGGGAGAGAGCCTACAGCCTTTGTTCTACCCCGGCGAGACCCCGAGATCTCCAAGGAGAGATCTGACACCTCGGGTTTGCTGCTCGCGGTGGCGGCCACCGACTGGGCTCCGGGGGTGCTGTTTAGCAGGACGGGTGTGCGGAGTGTTGGACCGAGGTGTAACGCCGCCTCCCCGAGCTCGCAGCGTGCGGCAGCGGGCAGAGTCGGACCCCGCGCCCACCCCCAGGCCTGCCCCCGCTTGGCACCTTCACCCCCGGC